GGATCAGAGGGGGGGGAGGGGGATGGAGGGGAGGGGAAAGGGGTGGTGGGGGAGCGACACTAGAACAGCACGACGCAGCATGAACATAACCTGGAGGAGGAGGGAAAGAGTGAGGCAGAACGATGATGACGAGGAAGTGGAGGGGGAAGAGAGAGGGAGTAGAGAGAGGCGGAGGAGGGAGTGGGGGCGTCGAGGGACGTGGATGAAGGCAACAAGGAGGTGAGGGGAGGGGAAGGTCTCGGGCGCCGCGGCCTTCTCAGATTCTCAGAGCGTTCTGGAACGATCTGAGAGCGTTTTGGAACGCTCTGGAACGGATTTATCATCGTCCTACCCCCGTCCGAGTCCCCCAAGACCATGGTCTTTATCCTGACTCATGTTGTTGGCGATCCTAAACCGGAGGAGGGCCCGGGGAGTCCGAAGACACCTTCAGGACCCGTTCCCTCCACAAGTTCAGTAAACATCGAATCGGAAGGTCGGATCAAATCGGATGCGCCTCGGGACGGTCTGGATCGGCACGGATCCGAGGACGGATCGGATGGGCCGCGCCAAGAAACACAATAACGCATGCCAACATGGGCAGCACCAGATCGTCGGAAGATCGGAATCGAGTCGGATCGGGCAGGCTGGCCCATTCCTTCGCGGACACATCGTGGAACGCATTATGACAAGGATTTCGAAGAGAACCCAGCCGTCGCGACGAGGGACGGCAGCATCAGCTACACGTAACTTCCCAGAACTTCTACGTGGTATTTTCTGCGCTGTGCGGATCCCTTCCCCGGGGCTGTTTTGGTTAACCTAAGCCGTTCATGGACGGCCCCAGGGCGCCAATGTGAGGCCCCCACAGGCCGAAAGAAGTGGGACAACCCGCGTCGTGCTTGTCCCACGACGCGAAGAGAATCAGGGACCTCCAAGATCCGTTCCCGTTCAGGTCCCAGCATGGCGACTTGTGTAGCCCATATAGGAGCAAACATCGGTCATGCAGCTCCCCCCTGGCGGTGGCGGAGAGGGGGGGCGACCGGCCGCCCCTTCTGCAAGCCAGACGGTGCTCAAAGGATTTCCAAGCCGCCTTCGAGGCCGAAATCTAAGTCAGTTTGCCAAACATGGATCAGCGATCCATGGAATTGGCGCGCGGTCGCGAGATCCATGGATCGGGGGAGATGCCCTCCCCAACATGCGGCCGGTGCCGCCTCGCTCGGCGGCGGAAATCGGGGATTTCCAATGGAGACTGGACCCCGCGCTCATCCACGCCCCCTTGATCCATGCTTGCGATCGCCTGAGCGAAGATCCTCGCTGATTATTCGTGATAACACCCGTTACCGGCGACGCCCCCCCCCTGGTATCGTCACGATTCGCGCTGGCGGCGCCTGGGAATGCCTTGAAAAATGCCTGCTAGGACTCACATGCAAATAGGATAACCAATGGTATACAAGCGCGCTGCAATTAGGACTACTACTACCACGACAATAACAACAATACTACTACTACTACTACTACTACT